CTTGGGCTGGCCCCACCCTCTCTCCCCTCCCACCCCCACCCCACACCCCCACCCCACCCAAACCCTAAGGCTTGCGGCCCTCCTCTCTTCCCCTCTCCCTAAGGCAGCACCTAACTGTTGGGCGCCACACAGTACAGTGCAGCGCCTAAATGTTGGGCGCTGCAGTGTTGCTGTAAGCAAAACTGCAGAAACAGATGCCATTTTGGGTGGGGTGCACCAGCACTCAAATAACTAAAACATCAATAAAAGTATTATAAACTGGACATGCTAAGCAAAGAGAACAAATAACTTGAACATCACATCATTTAAGACAATTCAAGTTTGCTTCAAGTTTGCAAACACAAATACCATAACATAACCTCACAAGTTAATCAACCTCACAAGTTCACAAGTTCATCATATAACATAACCTCACAAGTTCATCAACCTAACACAAAGCACTAATGCCTTCCACGCGTGTTCCTGGTGCCACGCCTGCAGGTAATCTTCTTCTTTTTAGGAGCACGAGGCTCCTCTTCGTGCACTTCCTCCTCCGCCTGCGGCTCCGCCTCCGCCTCCTCCTCCGCCTCATCATCCAATCTAGCCATCCGCGAGGTCCCTACGACCACCTTTGGGTTGCCTCTGTTGTCATAGTCGTTGGGCGTGTACCGGCGTCTGGGCTGCCTAGGCTTGAACACATATGCGGACCGAGCTTGAGCGTCCGCCAAAGTCATGTCATCATCAAGCTCATCGCCCTATCACACAACGAAACAATATGGTGAAGGCCGATGTCGTAATCAAGTGAGAATCACATCTAAATGATTAGTCATACCTCTTGGGTGATCCCACCCTCATCATCCACATAAGCATATGAGGAACTCACATCGTCCCCCTCATGGTGAGGTGCGGGGTCTGATGGTGTACCAGACCTAGAGGCAGATGGTTCATCATATTCAGGATCACGGCAACCGAGAAGGTTCGATAACCGCCTTAACTTCTTGGCCTGACGTTGTAACATGAACAAGTGTGTAAGATATCAAACTTCGCAACATAGACTGGCTCTCATAGTGAATGCGATATGTACCTTGAGGAATGCTCGTAGTGAACCATCATCATTGCCAGTTCCAACCCGTGTCTTCTCCAGAATAGACTGGCTCTCATCAGCTGCTCTCTTGATCTCGGTGCGCTGCGGATGAGAAAAAATGAATGCGTTAGCCATTCAAACATGTGTAATACGGTCAACAGGAAAGTAAAGAGGGGAACACTTTACCACATAGTTAATCACCGGAACAGCAGGCACTCCTTGCCCTAGCCTGACATCTCTGTTGTACTTCCCCTTTGCTAGATCCTCAAAGTTTACGGGTTCTTCAAGAATATCCTCATTATATGCCGGCGGGCATATCTCAACTCGAGTAGTTCCAATAAACCATCATACGTAGTTATCAAAAGCAAGTGAGTTGTGCTCACGAAGCGGGGCGCGTGCAGTGCTACGAGCTTGCTCCACACAAAGCTGGAAGCGGGTAACATACGCAGAATGATGCTTGGCCCAGTCCTTTATCTTCCGTTGCCTTCTCCTGTCCAACCTGCGTGGTATAAAACCAAACATTAGCACAATCAAAAGGAGTCCCGATGATTAGACAATACGCACACATGCTCTCTTACCTATGAAGTGCTTTATCCGTGTCCACCCAATCCGGCGGGTGAGGCTGGAAAAGACCAAACTGACGATACACGCGATGCGGCAAATGAAACTCAACCGCCCAGTTGCATATCAATGGGCACCGCATAAGCCAGAGATCCTTATCCCGCAAGCACATCGGGTTGAGGCGGAAGTCCGCGGTGTACCCCAAGCTCTCACCCGCGCCATATGGCTGCCATTCCACCTATGAAACAGGGCAACAATGCAAATTTGATAACTATTTTTCAAGCAAGCATGAGAAAGGACTAAAGTAATGACCTCCTTACCTGCTCAGGCGTAATCGTGTCCAACTCGGCAATGTACTTTTGGTACATGAGATTGACATCGTTCGTCATCTCGGAAACGATATCCCACTTGTAAGCCCACGTGGGGCGCCCTAATTCGTCATGTTCATCTGCATACCAAGGATCAAACCTGACGCTCTTCGGGCGTCCAACAGGCAGACGCTCCTAGCTCCATACAGAAAGTAGAAGCAGATTACCACCAATGCCTGCACTAGGTGTGATCCTGCAACACGCATCATCCAGCTACATATGAAAGAAAAACAATGTTAACTTGACAGCAAGCTTGCATTGCTAATGAATAAATGAGTTGATCACAAAACAGACCAACTACCTGTCGGTACAAGTAGGCAAGAGTCGCTGAACCCCAGCTCCATTTGCTATCGAAGACGGTCAACGCCTTCAGCCACATCCATGGAGCGTTCTTGCCAGTGGAGTCAGGAAACAAAGTCCTCGACACAATGTACCACATATACACACGAGCATGTGTCTGGATCACATCATCAGTTGCATCCGGAGGGCACGTCGCAAAGTTATTTTGAATCCACGTGAAAGCAGCTCCAGCTGCCTTCCTTTCCCTCTTCTTCTTCTCTTCTCCCTCCTCTACATCATCCTCAGCCTCGGTAGGAGCCATACCGATAAGAGCAATCATCTGCTCGCGCCACCCATCAGAATCGGTGCTCATACATAGAGGCCTCCCGTCGATAGCAAGACCGGTGATCAACGAGACATCCTCGAGCGTCACGGTCATCTCCCCGGTCCGAAGATGGAAACTGTGGGTCTCTGGCCTCCACCAATCAACAAGAGCGGACACCAGTGGAGCGTTCAGATTCGGCGTGGACCGGCTGACCAACAGAATCCACGGGAGTAGTCCTGCCTGCTTGATGTACGGTGTGTACCGCTCATCGTAAGGCATGGCAGGACCAGAGACCCCGTGATACCGAATCTTCAGAGGTTCAAGCTTCTGCAAAAAACAAGTAATGACAAATCTTAGGGCATGTAAATTTCAACTAAAGGCAAATTTGCAAAAGATTTAGAGTACTCATTATTACCTTATCCTTCTCGCGCATCATGTAGGACCGGTGTTGCACGTCGTAGACATCGTCCAGAAGCCAAACCATCCTTACAATTTCAAACAATAAACATACATGAGTTCATCTCAACTATCAGAAAACACTCAACATTTCATATGTGTTCATCTAAACATCTCATATGTATTCATCTACAAGAATCTCAACATCTCCTTCTCACACAATGAATAAATAATTGTAAATTCTCATATATATCTCGTATGACATATGTGTTCAAATAAATCAACATCTCGTATTTCAAATAAACTCAACATCTAATATATATCTAAAAAAACTCAACATCTCACATATATCTACAAAACTCAACATCTCATAATTATCTACAAAACTAGGCATCTCATATATATCTAAAAAAATAAACAATCTAGGTTTCACTAACAAGAATCATATACTACCGGATATGACTACACATCCTCCATCACAACACACAATCTTGGACAAACAAAGATCCAAACCAAGCAAAACTAAGTTTCCACCTAATCTTGGGCAAATCCCTAAAATTGCAACGATTTTACGGAGGAAAAGAAAGGGAACAAAAGAGCTTACGTACTAGGAAGAATTGGAGATCGAATCCAGGCCTCAAAACTTCAGATCTGAGGGGGTGTGGGGGGATCTGAAGGGGGCGCCGCCGCCGGTCTCTGTACAGAAGAGAGCAACTTCTCAGAGGTGGAAGAACTGCCTGGGAGGGGCTGGCCCGATGCGGCCTAAGTCAACGTGCAGCGCCTAAGACACGGGCGCTGCAATATACACAGTGCGGCGCCTAAGCCTTAGGCGCTGCACTGCTGTCTGTGGGGCCGCAACTGGACTAGGGCTGCCACGCTGGCAGGAGGTGCAACGCCTAAGGCAGAGGCGCTGCATAGTAGTGTGCGGCGCCCAACTGTCGGGCGCCACACTAAAGGGTCAGCAGAGTGAATTTTTTTTGAAAGCAGGTCAGTTTGTGAATTGATTTAGGCCTCAGGTCAAATATGTGAAATTTGCCCCTCTCCTCCTCCTTGTTGGACAGTGGCGCGACTAGCTAGTGATGACTCCTCTCTAACCGCCAACAAGTGCGCCGAAGACTACTAACGACGCTTTGGAGACTCCAAGGGGAGCTCGGCGAGAAAATGGTGAAATCCGGCGCCATCTCTCCGCAACTAAGCTATCTATCTAATTTTATTTTGGCTAAAATGTTTGCTATTACTATGTTGAAGTTTTATCTAAGATAATGTTGATCAAGTTGCATGAACTGTATGGATTTAAGAGGCGAAATATGAGATGGACAGTTGTGGAAGCAGAGACATGAGGGATGGCCGGTCACTGTCCGTAGTCAGGGTCAAATTTGATTAGTCAGGCTGTAGATGCTCTTAGAACATTGATTAAACGCCAACTATCTTCTGATAAAAATGGTTTATTGTAGGATTTATCTAATTTTATTCTGGTCATCTGACCTGATAGTCACGCTCTGATGAAGCTCTCCTCTAAGGCCCGGCAAAAGCTTATCGCCAATCATCTTTGGCAACCAGCTACCCATCGTCGCTTTGATTATGCAAAAATGATTTCATTTCTAATGACAAAAATGCTTCTCTTCTACAGATTATTTTCGATGTACGCACTCGTTTTCTATGTGGTCTACGCTACAACAAGTGGAGTACCAACCGCTGTTCAAAGCGGTCTGTATGAGGTTGGAGCAGGTGGCTACGGAGGTATTTTTTCAACATGGTGGCGGCATAACCTCCGGATTGATCCACCAACAGTTTCAACATAGGCATAGTGTCAGTCTATAAGACTACTGTTGCCGTTTTGCCGGTTTAGTTTCATTTTTTTTACCAGACTTTCCGGGATTGGCTGTGTGCAACTTAGTTATGCAGAGGGCGAGTGTCACTCATAATGATTTATATCCGCTTGATGCTACATTTCAGATAATAAAAGCGCCCTTTATAGGAAAAGCTACCCATCGTCGAGGTCGCCAAATCATGTTAAAGCAGAAGAAACCTCTGAGAGCCCCATATTGCTCAAAACAGAAGTGCTCTGTTTACTCATTACAGAGGATGATGCCACCAGCCCCTGGTTAAGTAGTGCTGGAATACTAGATTCTTGAATGGCACATTCAGTTGGCTCTGACGCTATAGTGTAGTCTGCAATCTCACTTTGTGCTGCATCAACAGATTTGAGCAGCAAAACCTTTGGCCTGTTCGGATGCTCCCTAGCAGCCTTCTCCCATGTTCTTCTTGTTGTTGGAGTGACTCTAGGGTCAAGAGTGACCTCTTTGAGATGTTTGAGATATTCTATTTTGAGGTCAGAAAGGCCATGCAGATCTTTACAGAGCAGCTGGAGTGTGACAAGGAATGGCAGAGCCCCTTCTTCTATTGTAGGGAAAGTTGGACATTGCAGCTCCAAAGAAAGGCGTAGAAGCCTGCAGAACGCCTGGTCTCTTACGATGAACTTGTCAAGGTCATGAGCAACCAGTTTCAAGTACTGGAGGTAGCTCAAATTACTCAAAGCTTCAAGAACACCTGTCGTCAATTTGGTAGACGAAAGGCATAACTCCTTGAGGCCCCGAAGTGAAACAACAAACTGAGGCAGTGCAGCCAAGTCACCGTGCAATTTCAGTGAGCTGAGGTAGCAGGGTCCTTTTAAGGAATTCAGGAGCTCTTCACAGCATTTGCTGAAATGAAGCGATAAAGAGCGAGAACCAATATTTGCTTGCTTTTCATCCTCAATGAACTGCTGAATGGCCTCCTTAAGATCGGTTCGGTCAGCGCAGCCTGCAGGCGACTCACACAAAATCTTCAGCTTACTCAGTTTATTCATATAACCCATAAGATGCAGGAACCCTCCACTTCTGTCGGTAATAAATCCTGCTAGTGTTTCCAAGTTACTTTTTCCTTTGGAGAGAAACTCATGTACTTCACTTTTTGGCTTGACTATATCTGGAAGCTTAAACTTCCCAAATAAGTGAATTAAAGACGGCAACTGGAAGACTTCTACATGCAGTATATGTACCTTTGTTCTCCTTACATCAAGTGATACCAAATGTTTCAGTTTAACAATATCTCTTGGAATTGTGGTAACACCAGCCCCAAGGCTCAGATATTTTAGAAGCAGCAGGTTGCATATGTCTTTGACATGATCATCCTTCAACTCCTCACATTTTTCAAGATCCAATACTCGCAGAAGATGGTACTTGCTGAGGTCCAATACAGTTTGACTTGCCTTCCCGAAGATTGCTAGAGACCGGACAAGTGATAAATCAACATTGCTGAAACTGTCAGCATCTGTAGCAGAGCTCTCATGGAGAGAAAGCCGACGAACGTATTTGGGCTCTATCTTGTCATTGCAAAACAAAGTAACGAAGTTCTGAGAGACGGACATGTGCAAAATGAACTCACGCATCATGCCATATGTTTGACAAGTCTTCACATTATCATTGTTGCTCAAGTTGATTGGCTCAATGATGTTTCGGTCCATGAGGGCATTGAAAGCAGCTATGGGATCAGGGGAGCTCGGCGAAGGTTGCGGTTCCACAAATCCCTCAGCAAGCCATCGTCTCAAAAGACTTTTCTTCCTGATGGGACGATTACTTGGGAACATACCAAAATATAGCAAGCAGGCTTTGAGAGCATGGCTAGGCAGAGTGGTGTAGTTATGAATCAGCACACGTCGCATTTTTTCGAAGCTCTTGTCATTCTCCAGGTGATAACCTATCTGGGTGCAGACGTCTTCACAGCTAGGTCCTGTTGGCCAACCCTTTGCTTGCAAGAATTCACCTATTGTCACCAGCGCAAGTGGCTGGCCATCACATTTCTTCAAAACTTCTGCTGGATCAGGCTGCTTGTAACATGAATATTTGTCCGGACAAGCTTTCTTGGTGAACAACTGTTTTGAGCATATTTTATCAAGTCTGCTCATTTTGTGAACATAGCCATTACTAGAACTGCAGGCATTAGCTACTGACTGAATAGTAGTCGTCACCAGTATTCTGCTGCTAATATCCTTATCTGCTGGCAAGGCAGATTTGATGGTTTTCCATTGATCTTCTGTTCGAATGTCATCGATCACAATGAAATACCTGAAAGACAGATCATGAAGAAAAATAAGTAATACAGAAGCAAAAAATACAACCTTCCATTTATACCGCTCATTGGTAGGATTTGTCTCCATCCATTGTTTTTTGGGGTTTGGACCAACAAATTGAGAACTCTTTTATCATTTATACCATCACAAATTGGGCTGCTGATCATTAAAATTTGGATCACATTTCGTTTAGTTTTCCCTCAAGCTAAATAGCAGGAAAATACCATACTGGCGGTGCATCTGTGGGCAGATAAAACAGAGAGATGTTTCTTGAAATTATAGGTGCAAAGGCGAAATGAATCAGGCAAAGCCGGAAGTCGATTACCTCTTCTTCACCAACTGTTGTTTGAGTTCTGCGCAGAGTTGGCCGACATCGGAGGTCTCCAGTACACTTTTCCCCTGGCAAGAAGGGGCGTCGGAGCTAAGTTTCCGGAGCAGGTCCGCTAGCACCTCCCGCGGGCTCTTCAGCGCCGCATAAACCCACGCGTGCCTCTCAAATCTCTCGCTGCGGGTTTCTCTGTTGTACACTTCCGCGGCGAGGGCGGTCTTCCCCAAGCCGCAAAACCCGACGACGGCGATCACCTTCAGCCGGCTCGGCTGCACCTCAGCCAGCTGCTCCAGCAGCTCCGCGATGGGCTCGTCGACGCCGACCAGATCCGCGTCAAGGATGCGCGGATCGGACGGGGAGGAGGGCGACTCGTCCACCGGCGGGGTGGCAGAGGAGGAGGGCTGGCCGCCGGCCGGGAAGTCGGCCGCGTACCTCTGCTTCCGCTCGTGCGCTTCCCTCGCCATCTGCCTGAGCCGCTGCATCTCCCGAGCGAGCTGCGCACTGGTCTTGAGCGCCTTGGGGGGCCGAAGCCGAACGCTCCGGCGGAGGAAGGACGCCTGCTGCTCCCAGGTGGCGCGATACATGAGGCCGTCGATGCAGTCCTCTATGCCATGGGCCAGCTCGCGCAGGTCCTGGATCGACAGGCGCGCGGCGGCGGAGGTGTCTGAGAGCTCGTCGTCGTCGATGGCGCCGACGATCATGCGGAGCTCCTTCACGAGGAACTTGACGTCGCTCTTGACGCCCCTGTGCAGCTTGTACTTGTCGTCGATGAGAGAGAAGAGCCTCGGCAGGATGACCTTGATGAATCCGCCCAGAAGAGCCGCCTCCATCGCCGTCTCCTCCACCCAGCTCCCTGGCCGAGAATGTGGGGAGGGAAGAGCAGCTGAACTGTGGGGAGATTATCCTGCAAATATTAGTGGAGAAGATTGGAGAAAGGGGAGCGAGGAGAAAAGAGGACTAGACTCGGGAGGTGGGCCCCGCCGGTTTGTCGACAGCCCAAAATATCTCCCAACCTTTCTATCGTGGACTCGTTCCGTCACCGTGGGCGGAGTTTCTCCTCCTCCTCCGTCGTATTCTACCGCTGCGGCGGTGCCTCCTCCTCTGTCCGGCAACCGCATCAACCCTAGCTTAGCTCCAAACCGATGCCAGCGGCTGCTCTTGGTCTGGCCGCCGTGCATCATTTCCACCCATACAGAGCAGCAGCCTCGCCTTCGCCCTCGCCCTCACCCTCACCCTCACCGGCCCTCCCCTCGCTGTAGCGCTGCCGCAGAAGCCGTCGACGAGGCCCGCGCCGGCTGTAGTCCCTATCCCGCTCCCGGCTACATCGATTTGGGGATTTCTGAATTGCTGGGAGGAAGAGGGGATTTCGGTGGCGATGCGGAGAAAAGGCTATTCTGACCGATGGTGTCAGGTATTAGTCAGAGGAGGACTTGTAGTGTCATGGCAGATTGAATGGCCAGGATCAAAAGGAAACCCAAAGGCAGAAGATCTACCGCTGTCAACGTTTATTCATTTCCGTCCTTGTTATTATTTCTATATTCAACTTACTCTCTGTAACCTCAGGCTATATAAGGGGTGGTAACTAGAGGAGATGTATCGATCAACTATTCAGCCAAATATTGGTTATTATCAATACAAGAATACCTTTACATACATACACCATATACACAAGTTCCTCACTGTTCTTGGTGATTTCATACTTTTCCCCAATTTCTTGTTCTTGATCCACTTCAAATCCATGGCTGATCCATCCGGGATCTGACAAATGGTATTCAGAGCCTCTGCTTCCTTGGTATTTTGACTAGATCTGGTTCGGGTTTGTGCTGGTGTTGTGAAATCCCCAATCCCACCCTCCCAAATCGAGCGTTTGTGCGATGGCTTCTTCGTATGGCGTTGATTCCTTGCTTGGTCCGATCTTCGCCGCCACCGCAGCTACTTCACCTCGCTCGTCCACAAACCCAACTTCTCAGATCGGTGCCCTCGTCACCACCGCCACGCGGTCAGTGTCACCATCGTCTTCTCAGTTCAACAAACTAAATGAGATGTGTGATGCAGTGGGCAAGGTCCAGAAGGCAGTCGCTGATTTGGGACATCAGCTATCTGCGTCGTCTCAAGTTCTTCTTGCTGCAGCAGCCCCCATCGCCACCGCCACCGGCACCTCCCATGCCACCGCCGTGGTCGCCACGCCTACAAGCAGGTTTCCCGTTGCAGCAACTGGCACCACCTCAGCATTGGCGCCCACTAGGCGTTCGACTGAATGCTCGAGTAGTGTTTTGACCTCCATCACTGCGCATCCGAGCGGAACGCCTCCTGCAGTCACCACCATCTCCACCACCTCTGTTGCCTGCGTCATCACCGCGCCTCCAACCGGACCCCCTGCGGCAGTCACCACTGCTACTGCTTACCGCGTCATCAGGATGCACTGGAGTGACCTTCGTGTGGTGAATGACATCCCCAGTGAAGTGTCTCTTTCATGTACACAAGCTTCAAAAATGTTGCCCACCAACTGTTTGACTGAATGCCTGAGCGACATTATGTATCTGAAGGAGGCAAGGTTAACAACCAAAACGGCTCACCTATCTCCGCCAGCGACATTGGTCATGCCTGTCATCTCTGTGCGTACATCAACCAACATCAACACCACCAGAACCGTTGGCGTGGATGCCCAGGACTCCATCTGCATTCCCAGGTCAGCGGCGCTCAAAGCCACTGTCACTGTCGTTCCAATACAGTCCATGGTGACAAGTGCCTTCATAGAAAAATGCCTCGACAAGGACAGCCCAGAGAGGGACATGTCTTTTGTGGCGCTACTATCATGGTTTTCTATCAGCCCTGTGTGCCAGGTGTTTGTCGTTGGTTTCCTTCCTGCAGAGATACGACCACCATGGCGACCACCTCTGGTCTGTAGCAGCCATTTGAGAGCTAGCCCTCTAGTACAGAAGGTATTGTATGCAATAGTCAACACTGACATGAGGGTGCAGAATAAAGGAGTCAATGCAAATCTTATATTGCCGTGGAACCCCGGCATACAGTCCGTAGCTGAGCCACACCATGTACAAGATGATGTTATATTGGTTTATGCATATTCTGCTGAGCAGTCCTACCACAAGTGGTTCATTTCACTGAAATATCACTGCCATGTTACTGGTCATTCCCTACCGTATTACGACTTGTATGGAACACGGTCGACCCTGATTACCGTTGGCGTGTGTTCCAACATGATTTTGCTACACACAGTGGAATATCCAGAGTTGGAAGAAAAAAATGGACTGAAGAATGTTACAGCAGCAACAACTGATGAGTGTGTTCTTCCTTTAAAACAGTCCCAGTTTTGTGCCTTTGAGTTTTGGGAAGAGCAGCCCAAAAGTGCAGCTACTACAGAAAGCGATGCAAGCAACCCAACAGGGGTTGGTGATCTATATATTGATGGTTCTTTCACTCTCTGGGCCAAAATGTTGTTCATCAATTCTTTGATGCAGAATGAATACTGGAAACTGGAACATCAACCATTAATTGGTCCCAAGAAGGAATTGTTTTCTACTGGTAAAATGTCTTGGTGCCATGTCAATTTTCCAAAATGCCGTAACCAACTCAGCAAGGAAAAAAGAAGGGATAGTAATCAGAGGTATTGTTGATCTTTGTCTGTCGGGTGCTAGTGCTATAGTTGATCACGAGAATCAGATGTACAACAAAGAGAAAACTAAAATTTCACACTGGAAATTCAAAGGAACACCTCTTGAGTTTGACTTCTATGATCAAAGTGAAATCAATATTGAGTTCTTGTTGCTGTCATATGCTGCATCTCAAGTCAAGCGGCTTTTTCCATGGGATCCAGGAGAACATGACCATTTAGTGAAAATTACTGCGATGATACTAGTTGGAACTGCGGGACAGGTTATTTCTGAACTTATCAGCAGCAAAGTGATCACTCAAATGGCCCGATGTAGCACAGAGAATAAGATACCACAGTCGGATGCCTCGCTGTTGCCTTTGTCTGTCGATTGCTTGTACCCATTGGTCAACATCTGTACAAGATCTGTGAGAAGCAATCTGAAAGCTAGCTCTCCAGTTCAGACGTACAATGACATGAAAGTGCAGACTAAAGGAATCTATGCAGCTGTTGTGTTACCATGGGACACTGGCGTACAATCCATTGTATGTACAAATTTTACTACATGTGCTACTGCCAGTTATCTTCCAGGGAAGCATACTCCAGCACATAACATGAACATGGTGCAGTTTTTACAAAAGGAAAGAATTATGGGGCTGTACAAGGATACTGAAGAGATGATTCCCATATCTCTAAGAGACCTACTGAGCATCACTTTCTCATACCAAGATTGTATAGCGCATGAAGATCTCTTTCATCTGAAGCAGCGAGTGTTTCCTAAATTTCCTTCTGATCAAATCTCAATGGAGACATTGACTGTGATAATGGTTGTTGCTACTTCCACTTCTTTTGAACCAGCACGACAAGAATCCAAGTTCATTGTGGTTTCTGCACAAGAGCTCAAGAACATTGTTGTTATTGTACAAGGTCCATACTATACCAATTCTAACCCTACAGGTTGTGGACTATTCTGGGAAACAAACTCTTCATGTTCAACCTTGCGACAATCTGTATCATATATATGGGTGTACAAGCGATTTGACCCAAGAGATCCACCATTGGCATTGTTGTTCAACATGGCGATGCAATCAGGGGAATGCTATGCTACGGTGAAACAAAGGAAGTGTCAGAAGCTCAAACATCTTGAAATCATATGTTGGACGTCTCCAATTTGGATCATATCATTTATGCCTCCCTGAGGCTCAACATTCTGCTCTCAACTCAGTCCAGGGAGAACCACACTTGGGGACAAGTGTGATTTCAAGAGGGATGGAATGTCAGGTATTAGTCAGAGGAGGACTTGTAGTGTCATGGCAGATTGAATGGCCAGGATCAAAAGGAAACCCAAAGGCAGAAGATCTACCGCTGTCAACGTTTATTCATTTCCGTCCTTGTTATTATTTCTATATTCAACTTACTCTCTGTAACCTCAGGCTATATAAGGGGTGGTAACTAGAGGAGATGTATCGATCAACTATTCAGCCAAATATTGGTTATTATCAATACAAGAATACCTTTACATACATACACCATATACACAAGTTCCTCACTGTTCTTGGTGATTTCATACTTTTCCCCAATTTCTTGTTCTTGATCCACTTCAAATCCATGGCTGATCCATCCGGGATCTGACAGATGGGCCCCGCAATCGATGCTAAACTTTTTTTTTTTGGATGAACAGGGAGGCTCCTCCCTGGTTCCATTAGCAGAATGAAACCAAAATGGTCTCTGTCTCATACATCAGCTCACTGAAAAGAGCAGTTCAGTAAAAGGAGAACTGAAAGTAAAACGCAGTTTTCTAAGATTGGAGCAGAACTGGTTTTGTGTGTCTAGTTTTTCTCTTATCACATTGCTCTTGCCCTTACATGTCATTCTTCTCCATGCTTTGATTTTTCAGGTAGAGATGAGTTCTTCTCTGTTCGCCACGAGCGCCATGGAGGCTCCCATGAGCTCTTCCCTGGGTGCCATGGGCCCCCTTCTCAGGAAGCTGCATTCGCTGCTAGACCCCGACCACCGGCTGCCCAAGCCACTGAAGCACGGAATCGGGCTCCTCAAGGAAGATTTGGAAGAATTAAGCGCCGGCCTGTTGGAGCAGTCAATGGCGGATTCCCCCAACCAGAAGGCAATGTACTGGATGGATGAGGTGCGTGAACTTTCCTATGAAATAGAGGACTGCATTGACGACATGATGCTGAGGCACACCGGCAATGGCGTCAAGACCAGACCCGTCCGCGGCCACAGGGTCAGTCGTGTCAAGGTGTCTCGGCTTTTCAAGTCGTTGAAGCCGTGCACAAGGGTTTCCAAGATCGCAGAGCTCAGGACCCTGGTGCTGGAGGCAAGTGAACGGCGTGAGAGGTATCATCTTGATGACTGTGCCTCGAGTTCTAGCCGTGTGTTCACTGGGCACAATCGGGTTCCAGGCCTATATGGACATGCGACGGATTTCCTTGTTGGTGTCGATGACCTGAAGATTAAGCTTACCAAGTGGCTTACTGAGGATGCTGATCAACAACTGAAAGTGGTGTGTATAGATGGACCTGCAGGGGTTGGCAAGACCACGCTGGCTAAGCAACTGTACCGTGAGCTTGGAGGGCAGTTCGACTGCTGGGCTTTTGTGCGGGCATCGCGAAGGTCTGACACAAAGAGACTACTTGGGGACATCCTCTCTCAAGTTCAGTGTTGTCAGTTACCCTCTTATTTCTGCGAGGTGCAAAATCTCATTGGCAATCTCATGAAATATCTCCAAGATAAGAGGTACCTTATTTACCTTTTTTTGTCCCGTGGAGGTGTGTGCAATCAATTGATTTAGCTATCCTAAGACTCAGACATAAAACCCAGTGCTCATGATTGTGCACAGTGGAATTTTGTGAATGTGCACAGTCGATGGACCAAATGTATGGTATAACTCTTTGAACGTTTGGAGAAACTAAAACAATAATTGTTTAATTGTATTTCTTGTTTCTACTTAGTGATAGAAATAAAAATGCTAATCAATCATTGTGTACATTAGTATATTTCAGAAAATACATAGTTATATATACATTTATTTTGCAGATACTTTATAGTAATTGATGATCTGTGGGAAACAACAACATGGGATATTGTTAAAAGCGCTTTTCCAGATGGTAAAAATTACAGTAGAATAATGACAACAGCAGAAACTGACAGTGTAGCTCTGGAATGTTGTGGTTATCAGTCTGATAATATTTTGAAAATGAAACCCCTTGGCAGCCATGCCTCTGCAGAATTGTTCTTCAGTATTGTTTTTGGCTCTGAACATCTGTGTCCTGATCAATTGAAGGAAGTTTCAGATAGAATCATTAGAAAGTGTGGTGGTTTGCCACTAGCAACCATCTGTATTGCTGGTCTCTTAGCAAGTCAGACGGATAACTCTGAGCTATGGCATCATCTGCAGAAATGTTTATGCTCCAAATTAAGTACAAGTCCTACTTTGGAAGAGATGCTGAAAGAAGTACTAAACCTTAGCTACAGTAGTCTTCCTTATTATTTGAAGACATGCTTGCTGTATCTTACTATGTATCCGGAGGGGTACACGATGTGGAAGGTTGATTTGTTGAAGCAATGGATATCTGAAGGTTTCATTGCTGCAAAGGAAGAAAAAGAGGTAGAGGAAATTGCAGATAGCTATTTTTATGAGCTTGTCAACAGGGGAATGATCCAACCTGAGCAAATTAACCATAATGATGAGGTGTATTCCTGTACAATGCACCACACTGTACGTGATCTTATTATGTTCAAGTCCAAAGAAGAGAATTTTATCACTTCCATAGATTATTCAAAAGCCATCACAGGACATTCTAATATGGTCCGTCGACTTTCTCTCCACTTTAGCAGTGCCAAATATGCGACCAAGCCATCAGGTGTAATACTGTCGCAATCGCGATCACTTTTCTTTTTTGGACTTCTCAGATGTTTTCCTTCTGATGTGGAGTTTAAGTTGCTGCGAGTTCTGACCCTTGAGTTTTGGGGCAACCAATATGGGCATACGAATCTCGACCTCACAAGAATTTGCAGTTTGGTTCACCTCCGATATTTGAAGATTTCATGCAATATGATTGTAGAACTACCAGCCCAGATGCATGGACTACGATACATGGAAACACTGGAAATAAATGCAAGAATATCTTCTGTTCCATTGGATATCATTGATCTCCCAGGCTTATTGCATCTATCTCTTCGAGATGAGAGAAATCTACCTGATGGGATTGGCCGCATCAGATCTCTGCGTACACTACAGTATTTTGACCTTGGCAATAACTCTGAAGACAATGTACTGAGCCTCGGTAGCTTGATGAACCTGCAATATCTTCATCTCACCTATTCCACAGTGCAGTCTGATGAGCACCTGAAGAGAAATATGGTAGCTTTGGCCTCTTCTGTTATCAAGCTTGTTAACCTCAAATCTGTCATTCTGGCTCCTGGAGCTTTAAGCACAGCCATTTACCATGATGTCTTGAGCAGCGTTTCCTCTCCTCCTGTCTTTCTTCAGGGTCTTCAGAGACTTGATTTGTTGCCCCCAATTTGCATGTTTTCCAGGGTTCCCAAGGATATTGGAGTAGTTCGCAAACTTTGCTATTTGAGTCTTGTGGTCCGTGAACTACGAAGGAATGATATTGACAGCATCACAGGATTGCCTGCCCTCACTGTTCTTTCATTGTATGTCCCGACAACCCCCTGCAGAAAGCATCATCTTCAACAATGGGTCATTCCCTGCTCTCAAATATTTCAAATACATGTGCGGTGTACTGTGCCTGGCCTTCCAGGAAGGAGCATTGCCCAATGTTCTTAGGCTCAAGCTAGGTTTCAATGCCCGCAAAGGACAGCAGTATGATGTTTTGCTTGCCGGCATTCAGCACTTGGTAAACCTGAAGAAGATTGATGGAATAATTGGGGCAGCCAAGGGTGCTGAGGGACCTGACAGAAGTGCTGCAGAGTCTGCGTTCAAGGACACCATTCACAAGCATTCAAAGTTTCCTAGTTACGTCAACGTAAAAAGGGTAGATTGGGTTGAGGAAGAGAACGAGCCAAGGACCCAAGTTAACAGCTCACCAAAATGTCATGAAATTCTACAAAAACAGCGTGGGGTAAATGAGACCGAGGAAGATACAAAGCAGTTTGCTGATAGTGGGTAGGCTATTAACACCCCCCCCCCCCCTCTCGCGCGAAAAAGGCAAATATTATGTTCTTTACGACATTTTCCCACAAGTAAAATGTGCACACCGTATTTTTCCAGCAAAACCTTTATATGTTACTCACATTTATTTCCTGATGATTACACAGGGTGAAGAATCAGATCATGCAGGTGTCTCCTCAGCATATGGATTTATGCCCAGACGATACAAAGCTGACTATGCCTAGTAGCAACAGAACGTCATTTCCTGAAAAGTTACAGGATAATATTGCAGCTGAAGCAGTGAGCTTTTCATCTACTACATCATCTGCTCAAAGTCCACAGTCGTGGTCAGCTCCATCATCTCACCACTCTTTACCTGAAACATATGCATGGGACCCAGAGGGATCTCCTTGGTCAAGGGCATTGAGTAGTCCTTCTCTTACGCCAAAGAATACCAGTGCCCCTCAATCAGCTATGCACCCGATGTTATCTCCAGAAGACCATGTTTCACGTACTGAAGGCACCCGGAGTACTGGCTATTTTCACCCCTTAGCACTTCCTCCCAGTGCTAGCAACCAGCCCGCTCCAAAAGTTGAAATGTCCTTAGTAGGTCAATGGCAAAAGAGCAAACTTATAGGTAGTGGTACATATGGTGATATATATGAAGCTACCAACAGGTATGGAAGTGTAATCCGTATATCATTGCCTCTATTCATGTTAAATTCTGAATGTTGGGTTACTGCCATTTAAATGTAGGCACACTGGAGCTCTTTGTGCAGTTAAAGTGATCAGTATAATTCCTAATGATTCTAGATCTGCTGATTCCTTGAAGCAATTAGACCAGGTTATTAAATCTGGCTATGCACTCTTAAGTAATTACAAGCTTTTCTTTTGCAGTAACTTAGAATCTTTTTTTATCAGTTCTATAAATTCTGTCTTAACACTTTTGTTTGTTATTGTTTGTCGACGTGTGATCGTCGAGATCAGGGATCAAAGGAGATCCCCTTTTAGTTGTTCGGCCAGGGGCTAAAACACTCACAGATTCTCACAGCTTCCTTAAGAACTAATGACACAAGCAGTTACCCAGGTTCAGGCCACCCTTAGGTGTATTACCCTACTCCTGCTTTATGTGTGTTTGATGGATGATGAACAAATGAACTACAAGCTGGAGCTAAGTGCTCGCAGCTAGCTAGCTTTGGTAGTGCTCGGGTGGGCCTATAGCTGCCCCGAGCACCCTTCTCTTCTTCCTCTTCCTAGCTTTTCTCCAAAAGCTAGATCTGAAGTTTTTGGGATCGGTCCCTTCTACTGGCCATGGTCCTGCCCTTATATAGTGTTCGGGAGGACCTACAAATGCCCTTTAAGTAAAAAGGTACAAAGGTTACAGTAGTCTTTGTTGCTCATGCGTCCATGGAGTTTGCCAAGAGTGGCAAGTAAATGGTCGCCCGAATCCTGTGTATCTCTGGTCAAGAGATACATCTCTGGTCAAGAGATACACCTGGTCGTCGCTGGCGTCACTCTAGGCTCCACACACCTGCTTCTGGTAGTTGATGGAGGTTGCAGCTCCTTTCAGGGCGCCGGGGCCATAGTCAAAAAGAGGCCCTATGCAGTCATGTCAGTCTGATCAGCTGCCCCCCTTATCATGTGTGGAATCACGATACCGCCCTACAAAAGCGCCATGCCGCCATCATTCCCCTAAAATACGTAGCCTGCGGCGGGCTACGGTTGATAGCCTGCCTGGCATTTAATGCCTGGTCGGGCATGGCTCTGTTTTGCATTAAATTCGCTGTGGGCAAATTCGCTTTACTTGACCCAGCCACTTAAGCCCGAGGTAGCCATTCCTGGAGGCTTTGGCTATGCTCGGGAGCCTGGTGGTGCTTGATAAATTTAGCTTTGCCAGGTGTCATGCTCGGAGTATCTCTTCTGTTCTTGTGAATGATTTTTGAGTTGATTGATTGGCTCGTAGCATAACTGGACGAGGCCAAGCTTCTTCAACTTAAGCCATAACTTAACTTGGTTAAGTTCGTGGAATTTTCCTCGGGAGGCCCATTTGGTGTGCTTGGGGAAAACCTGTTTTTTAGTACACCGACATTGTTCTTTTTCAAGGTTCCTCATTCTGAGAAATACGTTTCTAGCTTATTTTGTTTACTGAATATTATGATTTTTTAAGTGTTACGAATACCTACAGTCATGTGGGAGCAGATGTACGGCTGACGTGCCAAGGAAAGGCCAGCCAGTCGATGACAGTTTGATCTTCAAGTCAGCCCAGGGATTTCCATATCAATCTATTTAATTAGTTTCCATGTTTGTTTTATTTCAATGGCTTTCAATTTATTTCAACGTTCTCTATATAGAGAGGACTACCAATGTAATATCAAATTGCCAATAGAACAAGAAAATTAGATTATACTCCAACCCTAGCACAAACTTAGAACATAATTTCATATGCTCATAGAAATACTTACAATCTTTGTCAACCAAAAAGGAACTTAAGTCTCTAAGCATCCTAGTTGTACCATCTTTCTGAGGATTCATCTTAGTTCTCAGCGTGTGACAATCACTCGATACTTGGCTTTTTTCCTCTGTGATGATGTATAGCAAGTTTTCGAGATGCCTTTGTTGACTTAATTTCATTATTTTCAGGAAATAAAGCTTCTAAGCCAATTTAAGCACGAGAACATAGTTCAGTATTATGGTAGCGAAACTGTAAGTTTCTCTTCCAATCTAGGCTAATAAATTCCACATGTTTCCATGATGTAATCTTATTTCTTGGAGGATCTTGCAGATAGAAGGCCAACTCTACGTTTACATGGAGTATGTTCATCCTGGTTCAATTAATAAGTATATCAAACAACATTGTGGAGCGATAACAGAATCGATTGTCTGCAACTTCACTCACCATATTCTTAGGGGTTTAGCATTTTTGCATGGCCAAAATATTATGCATAGGTATGTGCAAACATGTATCCTTGTTTACATAGTTCCTGCTAACTAGGTCAACACCTCAGCGGCTTCTGAACTCATGGTTTGCTCTTCACTACTGGTTGTAATTTTTTACCTTCCACTTTTGTCCATTCTCCTTAAACCGTCTTCTTTTTTCACTTCATTTTCTAATATTTTCTCTGATTTTGTTACTAGATCGTGATATGTGATCTATTTTGCCCATCCTCACAATGGACAGTAAATATTGCTGCTGGTTATCTTGTTTTGGAAGCAATTCTGTCCCCGTGCACCCTCCTCTCGCCTCCGCCAGTAGGCACAGCTGGGCTTGCCCGCACGGCCCATGGCGGCGGTGGGGCTCCGTTCCCGTGGCGTTTGGGGCGGTGTTTGGCAAGGTGCAGGCAGCGGCAGTTCGTGGTTGTGGGCGACGGTCTCGTTGTAGACGCACTACCCAGCGGCAGTTCATGGCTAGGCTGTTGCCTCATTGAAGGTGGGAATCTGCGGCGGTGGCAAATCCCGAGACATAGGTTTCTGGGCTCTGCAGACGCCTTGGCCTCCAGCCGGACCTTCTCCTCCACCTCATTCTTCAACTTCTCCAGGCGATTGCGCTCTGTGGCCTGCTCCCGGGCTGACTGCTCCAGCTCGGTGTCATGGCCAGCGAGCGCGTCTTCCCAAGCCTTCAGCTCCTCCCGCGCCGCGCGCTGACGAGCCTCGGTAGCGCGCTCGTTGCACAGGGTCTCCAGCTCGGCCTCCGCCACTCGGCAGCGCTCCTTGGCAGCCTTAGCATCCCCCAACGCCACGCCGCGGGCGGTCGCGGCCAGGCCGGCAACCTGCTTACCTTCCTCAGAGGCCGTCATGGCGTGGCTCCATGCCGCCCTGACGGACGCGTTGGATCGCAACCACCCCGAGATCAGCTCTAGGCACCCGGACGCCAGGCGACGATCGACGCCTTGAAGATCGTCGCGAAGTTGGGTCAGCGCGGAGAAAGCCTCCCCCATAGTACCAAGCGAAGCAGAAGATGGCACCGACGTCAGGATCGGCAAGCCAGCGGCGGCAGCAGGGGCTGGGGGCTTCAGAGCCTTTGGGACCTCAGCAGGCGAGCTGAGGGCAAGCACCTCTGGAGCCGGCTCGGCCATGGAGACCGCTTCCTCCTGAGGCTGGGCCCTCGGGTCTCGCGAGGACAACCCGCCGCAGGAGCACAAGGGTCACCACCGCCCGTCTGTGCGGGGGGCGGTGTGGCCACGGTGGGCTGCTGAGCTGCGAGGACCACGGCCGTCTCCTTCACCATCGGCGCAGGCCTAGCCATTCCGAAGGAGGGGCATCAAGATACTACAACAAGAGCAAGGAAGGAATACCAAGGCAGGGCACTTACTGATCCACGGCGGCGTAGTCTCTCGCCCTCTTTAGAAGCACCATGCCCTTGGTCTTCGCAGGCTGGGGCACGGGCGCACGAGCCCCAGGGGCAGACAAGGGCGTGGCGCCTGGGCCTGCGTCAGCATCGGCCGACGGCAAATCGGAGGCACCGCCTCGGGGAATCGACGCCGACCGGCTCTTCTTTGGGATCCTCGGTGCCGGCTTTTTCGAGGGAGTACCCCTGGATCTTGTGGTGACCCCAGTGCTGTGCAGGGGCTCCCGAGCAGGGTGCTCGCCGGCGTCACCATCATCGTCAGAAAGGACGAGGAGGGGGCCCGGTTGGCGCGGGGGGAGACCTGCCCCGTGCCTTCCACAGTCTCCTCTGAGTCTGACTCCTCCTCGTCAGAAGCCGCCACCACCAGGGAGCCTGGAGGACCGGTGGGTGCTGGCGGTACGAGCCCGCTCTCGTTGAAGACCGGCATAGCTGCGGCGATCTTCACCCCATCTAGGCGACGGTACAGCGGCAGATGAGTGTCCGGCAGGCAACCCTGGTCCTTCCCGACCAGGAGGCGCAGGACCTTGTTCAACTCCTCCTCGGGCAGATCGTCCGGCGTAGGCGGAGTACACCACCCTTGCCCGCGAGCTCCCACAAGGGGCGCGAGCGTTCCTGGAGCGGAGCCAGGTGCTGCGTCAGGAACTCCTTCACAATAATGGCCCCCGTCAGCTTCTCCGCCTTCGGGTCATCGGGCTTCAGGTTGGCCATCATCCTCTCTACCATCTGCTCAGCCCGGGGGTCGGTGAGCTTCGCGCTGTTCCATCCTTCATGGGGCGCAAGCATCCCAGTCGGCAGCGCCAGCCGAGGGTGGGAGCACTTGGCGTCCATAAGGATCCACTTGTTCCTGAAGTCCACCACCTTCCCGGCTCGCGAGATCGCGGTGGTTCCATTGGTCGCAACAAAGTTGGCAGACCCCGAGCACTGGCCCTCTTTGAGCCGGAGGTAGAAGAAATAGCGGAGCAGCGCCACGGATGGCATCACCCCCACGAACGCCTCGCAGTAGAAGGAAAAGATCGACATGAGGAGGGCGGAGTTGGGATGAAGATGGAGGGCATGCAGATTGTAGTGACGAAGGAAGACGTAGAAGAAGCTGGAGAAAGGGGGGACCAGCCCTGCGAAGATACTGTGCAAGAAGAAGGGATAGAAGGTACCGCCCGAAGCTCCCGGCTTGGCGGAGCCGGCCCGAAGCGCTGTCTCTCCTCCCTCGTTGCTGTCGCCCGCCGTCACCAGGAGCGCGGCGGCGAAGTTCTTCTCCGAGACCGTGGACGCGCTCAGGGCAGACTCGAACCAGGAGCGTGTGGCCTTGGCCTTGTCAGTGGCCATCAGCTGTAGGCTTAGGGGAGAGTTTCGGCAGATCCGGGGCTCTCTGGGCAAGGAGGAGAAGGGGATCTGGAGCAAGACGAAAGGGAAAGGCAATGAAAGCTGTGCAGCAGGCGCCAACCTTTTTGGGTTTCATCTCCATAAGAGTGGCGGTTGACGTTGGCTCGCCAAGCCTATCACAACCCTCCTCCTTTACCCGGTCTTGGGACCGACTATGTTGAGACAGCCTAGGCGGAGCTCAAAGTTGTTCGAAGCTCGACTGGGCAAATACCTCGGCCATCAAGCTACACATGTTTAGAACATCGGTAGCTCGATCGGGGGCTAACAACAGCTTAGGCTGACACATTCACCACCATGGAAGCATACTTCGAGGCACTTGATCGCCATTGATTGTGATTGAACAAAAAAGGTGAGCACGGTGGAAGCAGGACCCCTCGGTTTGGACGAGGAAGCACTATTCGGGCATTGCAAAACAAAGGCTGCAGCCCTTGGTTTGGCAAGGCTGCACAGAAGAACAAGCATCGACAAGGTGACGCTGGACATGAAGTCGGAAGCTCGGACCTCAGCGCGCTAGCTCTTTGAACAGTCTTTGTACTGCTCTTTTTATATCATGTATAGCTCGATAGTAGGTTCGACCTTATAAATTATTGAATAAAGAGACGCCCGAACTTTCTCGGGCTACGTATACACATGGTGCATCCTTGTTCTCTTTTCAATAAACGATTGCTATAATTTCCTTTTTACCATTCCAGACGCCCTCGAGCATCAGCGCCATTAACTGGGGGCTTCGTTAAGAACCAAACCCATTAATCGCCGAGGTACTCCATGGAGTCCTTGGCAGAATGTCCTCGGACCTCTAGGCAATATATGCATGGATATCGATTTTGACTTGTGTCTTTGGTCAATAGCTGGGTGCCTGGTTCCATGTTTACCCCTTATGTTCCCCGCACGGTCGGCTAAGGGTGTAAAGGGGGCACCTCTGCGATTGTTAGTTTTGGTTTAACCGGTTATGTACCTCAGGTGGGTGAAGTCGAAAGCTGACTGTCACAATATGCGCAAATCGGTCGGCAGGCCGAACAAAGTGTTAAACTAAAAACCAATATAGATTAGCAGTGTAAAACAAGGACTTTTCTTCAAAAAGCCCGTAGTATTTCTAATCTAAGGAAGACGGCGCATCAGCCGAAAGAAGCTATTCGGCAGAGGATCTCTCGGCCACAAGGCTTTGCAGAGATCCTCCATGGCAGGCTTGGCCGCCCGCTGCAGCTCCGCCACCTGCTTCAGCTTGTCGCCGAAGACTTGAGAGGACGCTCTAGCTCCTGGAATTGAAGCCAGAAGACCTTCTGCTGCTCGTCGGATGGGCCGGCAGATGTGACAAATAGCTGGCAGGCCTCCTCCACACAGCGAGGGAGGTCCGAGAATGCGCCTATACACGCCAAAGTTGCGTCAGCTTGGGGAATGCTTAACTGCCGAAGACACACTGCAGAATATAGGGCTTACCGAGAGGTTATCCCCATTGCATGCCGCAGTTCTTCCTTCGCTCAAGCTGCTCGGGAGGCGGCTTCTTGGCGCTCACGCTCAAGTCGCTTGAGCTCGGCGGTGTCCTTCCTCTAGGCAGTCTTTAGCGTGTCACGTTCAGTGACGACTGCCAAGAGATCCCCTTCCACCTCCGAGATGCATGCCTTAGCAGCTTTATGCGTTCTTCTGCTCCTTAGCGAGCAACTTGTCACTTTCCTGCGCCGAGGCCTTAAGCTGCTCGGCCTCAGCTCGAGCTTTCTCAAACTCGGCTTGCACGTCAGCCATGTGCTTCTCAGCCGCTGCACAATTAAACAAGCCGAGTTAGACATGAAACTACTTGGTGAAAAGCAGCAAATTAGAGGGACGAGTTAGCACATTCTTACCCTATGCCTGCTCGACATCCTGTCTCAGCCGAAGAGTCGACTCTTCGGCTTGAGAAAGCTGATGTTTTACCTCTTCCAGCTCCGCAGAGTTGGCCGAAGTATACGAGGTAGAAGCCTGCTTAAAATATACAAAAATAAAGTGAATATGAAAGAAGGCACCCACTTAAAGGACTAGCTTCAATCCTCCTGTTGGTTTCTTGTAAAAACGAACACGAGGCTCGGGGGCCACTGTAATTGCGATCCAAAGGAGTCTTGAAAAAAAGCTCTGCAGTCTATCAAAAGTTGAGCATTATTTTCTGATGTCTTCGGATGATGATTCGACATCCTCCTTGAGGGCTACTATGTATACTTATACTAGGTGTTACCATAAAGCAAAACCATGT